GTGCGAGATGGGCCGCCATATTTGACAACTACATATGGCAACTCAAATAGGACACTTGACACAGTGGCGTTTGGCAAAGCAGAAAATGAAAACTAAAAAAACCCGACAATATTAATCTGAACGAGAGAGATGAGTTATTGTTATTACAACGTGACTTCACTATTATTTAACAACTCCTTTTATTGGGTCCTTTTATTGGGTTAAGTACATTGTCAGAATAAGTGAGAAACGGATTTAACTTCTGTTAAATCATTATAAATCTACCAGATCAGCCCGGTGTCCGTTACGCTTACCAATGACATCACGCATTGGCTGTACGGCAAACCAAGAGGACATTTTACACGGCCAAATTCCGCAAAGAATATAAAAAAATAACAATCGACAGTGAATGTATGTTAGTGGAACTGTGTGAGGAAAGTGAAGTCTTAATTAAGAAATGTTAATGAAGAACTGAAATTCATAAAATAGAAAGAAATATGGTCGTAGACTTTACTGATGATTTAGAATTTATTGAAACTCCAGACTCAACGTAAGAGCGTGTGCCTCTCCGGGGGGTGCAAATATTTAAACCAGGGCTGTCAAGTTAACGCGTTAACGCAATTTTTTTTTAACGCCACTAATTATTTTAACGCGATTAACGCATATTTGTATTTTTTGTCCTCGGCCATCCCGTAGTTTCAGAGCGCATCGAGTTTAAAATACCATCTACAAGCTGATGCTGACAGCCCCGCTCCTGCCGTCCGCTTGTGGCAGACCACACTTCCACGCTCACCGGCAGGCACCGACTGGCCATCGGGAGGACCGGGAGGGCGTGTGTATGTGTGGCGCGAGCGAGAACGTGCACACCTTACGTGTATTGTTGTTGTTAGCATCTGGTGCTAGCTAGCTGCGCTAATGGATATAAGGAGCTGTTTCAATGAAAACAGAGGAGCGACATTTCGCCGACAACTGCGCCGAGCACTTGACTTTATGCAGGAAGCCAGACATTGGGACATTGTACGAAAAGTCAGCACACTCAGCACGGATAGTGCGCGCAACATGATTGCAGCGTCCAGGCAGCTCCCGTTCGAGCATATGCCTTGAGTTGCACATAGCTCCAACGATCCACACACACACACACACACACACACACACACACACACACACACACACACACACCACACACACACACACACACACACACACACACACACACACACACACACACACACACACACACACACACACACACACACACACACACACACACACACTTTGTATTGTATTATTGTATTGTATGAGAGAGGTTCCAGGTTGAATTGAGGCGGATATTTGTAATGTTCAGAGGTTGTTATGTTTAATATTCATGAGAATATTTGTCATTGATCAAATGATATTGAACAAACATTTGCATAAATCATATTTGTCCACTCATATGTTGATAAGAGTATTAAAAACTTGAACAATATCCCTCTAAGGAACATTTAGAACAGATACAAAATGTGCGATTAATTTGCGATTAATCGCGATTAACTATGGACAATCATGCGATTAATTGCGATTAAATATTTTAATCGACTGACAGCCCTAATTTAAACATAAACTTTATTCTTTACTTTCTCCGTCTTTATATGTAGAAGATATCAGATACAGCCCTGGAGGTTTAGGCGATAGGAAACACATTGGTGTGTACAAATTTAAAACATGTAATTACTAAATGGGTGAAAATCGCTTGTATCCATAATGGGCAGCATTAGTATATACCCACATGACAGCTCATTGTTACTACATGTTATACTCCACTACAATTCAGAGGTTAACCTGGTATTTTTACTCCACTACATTTATTTGAGTTACTTTGCAGATTCTGAAATATAAACAACCCTTAAAATCAGACTTTAGTTACACCTGAGTAAAATTCAGGGAAGGTGATTGTCAAGTGCCAACAATCACCCGAGATATTTGATAGTTGGTGCTTGAAAAGACTAAACATTTATCTGCATATCCCTATAAAGCATATTCATTACTCGTTATTCTCTACTAATAGTTAATTAAAGACTGTATAATGGCTATTTTTCACATCCCTTTCAAGTTTTCAAGATTTTCTAAGGTTTATTATTTATCATATGTAATACGGTGTAGTTATGCAATTAATCAAAAACTTGGGTCGCAAGTTCCTCAACAGTGACAAGACAAGACATCTATCAATATGTGTGTATACCTCCACCATTAAACTGTCATATTCTGCACATTTCTTATACTATCTACATACATCTTATAAGAGTTTAATTAATATGTATAATATCAGTTAAAATAAGTGCTTCAACATAATTAACATTGCAGGAAAGCAATATATTAGACGTTAAGTACTTTGTCAGGCTTAATATTTATCTGTAGAAACCCAAAAGCTTTTTTCTTATTTAAAAGAAGACCTTAACCTAAAGTATTCTTTAATGTTTAAATAAAGGTTAATTAGTTTTTCTGTTTTGCACATCCTCCTATTAATATCTTTGTACATCCGGCACTAAACAGTTTTATTGTAGAGATCACTTACGGTATCTTCTTGATATTTTATATTCTATATTTCTATCATTGACCTTCTACTTTCCCCCTATTTTGTATGTAATCTTAATATTTTTTTCATCAAATATAACATATTCAACAAAAACATGCAATAACGTGCTTTAACCACTAGGTGGTGCGGGTTGAAAACCTGTCAAGTTTAAAGTGTTAACACAACACATTATACATTTTATTATTAGTGTAGGACACTTATGTATGTATAACATCTGAAGATGTGTAGTTTTATTCATGTTTTCACATAATTTTACAGGATATTGCTATATTACTTGACAAGTTTTACTTCTACACATTAATATCTGATAAAACATCACACACAGAAAGGTATATCCGCAATTTAATGGTAAGCTATTGCAATTCTGAATCCATAGATGTGTCTCCCATCACCCAAAACCCCTGACTATTCTCTCAACTCAGTATTTACATTCTTATATTCTTAAAATCAATAATATCTTTAAAAACTACAAGTCCCTGTCTATCAGTTGTGCACCGCTACCTATCTACCAATTGCATCAAATATAAAAGTCAGCCGAATTAGTGTTGATACTGCAAGGAGACGTATTATAAGAGAAATGGAAGATGTTGTTTAATTGCTGATATATTTATGATCTACGTCACGTATTCTGTTCCGGTGGCAGCTCTTCCTGTTTGTCTAGAAGTCTTCTAATCAGGGCTCTATAAATAAAGAACTACGGCAGATGTGTAATATTTAATGCAGCTGAACCGTGTATTACAATGCCATTATGTGATGACTTTCAAAGAGAAAAGCAAGCACACTCGGATTAAAGTATTATTATTATTTTTTAAAAATGTTTTCGGATTTCATATCGCATACACACCATATCCCAACGTGCATTGCGGCTAAAACATCCAATCACGAGCTTCAACCATAGCTGAGGATCTTGAGTAATCCAACCCAGTCTCACAAAAAAACGTGTAATAACTACGTTGGTCCACAACGTAGGACGTAGTATTTCTACAAAAACGCCTCTGAAATTGTAAGATCCCTACGTTTTTTTTCACCATTCATTCCAATGGCTGGCGTCTATGTCACGTGATCTTCACATTTCTCCCTGCAGAAAAAAAAAACATGGCCGAACTTCGTTTTATTCTCGGTGGAAAATGCTTATTTTAAAGTTAGTTTGGCCATTAAAATGCGTTTTGATGTCATTTGATGCCAGAAATATGAGTTGTTATTTCAGATTATGTGTGCAGTGGATGTACATGATCTTTAGTTTGCTAGTTATTACGAAGATTACTTCAGGAAATTGTGTCTATACAACGTTTTCATTGTTACCAAGGTGGTTGCTAGGGAAGCTGCTATCGATATTATTTCTGTTATGTTGTGTAACTGTTTAATGGTGTTATCTTTATTGCTACCCCCCTTCATACATAATACATAATATTTCCGAAATAAGGTCCCATGGAGGTCCACCGGAGAGGGAGGGACTTCGCCTCTCTCGCCTACGTCTGTTTCCGGTTACTTTATTTTGAAATTCAGTTCCTGATGGACGGCAAAAAAGCCAGGATAATTGTGTGTTATTGTTGAGTAAATAACAGTGTGTTATTTAGAAAATAATAACAAATTAGAAGGAAACAAATATTTAAAAAATACATATTTCAGTATTCTGAGCCCCATTTATTTTCCTCACGGACGGCAAAAAAAGTCCAACATTATACGATTTCAAATAAAAACAATAATCGTGGCTTGATATTGAGTAAGAAAATGTTTTTATGAACCACACAGCTTCCGGTCTTCCAAGACCCGACCGGACAAAAAGACGTGCTGCAGGCACGAAACATACTAACAATAGAAATACATTGCTTTTAAAATCGTTCTGTGTGACACGAAAAAAAGGGGAAAATCGTGTTGCTGAACACGAATCAATAGATTACATGTCGTGACTATAACACGAAATGCCGTGAGACTGGGTTGAGATACAGCTATGCTGCCGTGATTAAACATCGTATCATGTTCCAAACCACATCAAGGATTATTTCTGAAACAGTATGGAGCTCAAATGCTTTTTCTCTCGCGGGTTTACCACAAAGTGAGTTCCTTTTTTTATTTCCTGCTTTTTTACACATAATCTCTCTAGTAGGCTACAGGTTAGCTCTGAGTGTTAGCGATGCTTGCTAATGTAAACAAAGACCATATTACGTCCAAAACACGTCCAAATTTCCGATATTACGTCATTTCGAACGCAAATCTGGATCAGCTCCGTTGTACCCCCGTTTTTAGAGATTTGGGTAAGGAGGAAAAGAGAGAGGGTTTTGTTTTCTGACACTTTGTGAGTTCCCTGACATACCAGGGACACATATTTATGTATAAAGGACATTAAAAAGTACATTTTGCATGATAAGAGACCTTTAAATTAGTACTTTCTGATTAGATTAATGACAGTTTCCTCTGAGCTAGCATGTTAGCTCCAGCCTCTTACCGGATGAGATCCAGCAGAGCGTCAGCAGAGCTGGTCATCGGCTTCTTGCTTCCATCAGAGTCTTCCTTCTGAGCGGCTCCGCCCGGGTGGATAATGTAAACCATGAGGATGCCCACTACCACGGCAACAAAGGTGGTCCAGAGGTAGTAGGAGATGGTCATGATGCCCAGGCGGCTGGAGCACTTGGCGTCTAAAGCAGCCAGACCTGACATTAAACTGAAGAATGGAGAAGAAGAGAAAGAATGAGGAGACAAAAAAGACAAGACAAGAAAGAAGAGGTTCACTTTAGAAATCACGAAGGCCTTTGTGAATGACTATGTTCTGCTTTTGTTTTTTGAGGTGTAAAATTTGAAAAGACTGGATAGCTCATTGGCATGCTGTTGGGAGATGTTCCGCCAACTGATTTAGAGTCAATTTGGATTCAAAGGTTTTATTGAGCAAATAAACAAGTGGCACTAAATTGCATAATTGAGAGTCACAAGGTCATAGAAACAAATTAAAAATGTTAACTTCCGTTAACAACTACTTCACACTTAGAACCATTAGATTCAAAAGACACCTGCAAAAATGATCCTACAGGCACAAAGCCATGAAGAAAAAATAAAAGCCTTAGATTTTTTCTTCATATGTCAATGCCATACAGCTTTGACCTGATGACACCACCGAATTAAACTCAAGAAGCCTCTTTGAGTCATCCTGTTCCAATTACCATTTTCACTGCACAGAATTCGTGACTGTGGATCAACAAAAAGTGAAGCTTTCATTTAACACCGGCTACTTCTCAGCGGGGGTCAAAATGGAACACATCTAATTCGTGGGAAGATGTGGAAATAGAGCCGCAGCAAGAGGGAGCGGGAATGATTTTCTACTTCATCTTCAGCTGGAATAACAATATATTTTTGCTGCTAAAAGTGTAATCTGGTTCAACTTGGTAAGTATTGGATGGTTCTTCTGAGTCTTTGCTCCACCTCATCTTTCCCCTTTTACCATCCCTGAATTGGAACCCCTTCGTCTCCTCTCCCTCACAGTCACACTAAGGATGGTTACGCTAGTCATAGGGACGTTAAAGTGTGTATCTCCAAAATGCTGAGACATTGGAGTACCTTTGATTTTCCCAATGTTGACTAAAAGTATATGTAATTGGTTTCACACTGATGTTTTACCTGTAAAGAGCCCACAGATGCGCAGCAAATCCGTCTCAGAATATGGTAAATTAATCAGTGCTGAATCACTTTTATTTCTGAGGAAGCTAAAAATGTATTTTAGAGAGATCCTTGAATGCAACCTCCTGGGACATGAGCTGTTCTTCCACTCTGTATGAGTCTTTCACTTCAAACTAGTCCAGTGTCCTTTTTGTACATAGCTGTGTAACAAAAATAATACATGTGCTTGAACATGGCAAGTACAATTTTAATCATAATTATAGAAGCCTTGGGGTTTGTTCGTCTTGAAACTTTGTGTGATTTTCTTCTAGCTTCCAGACTATCTTATTTTATCGGATGTGGCAGACCTGTGTGCTAATTACGTACGATAATACAATTGCAATATCCTTAATTGAGTATAACGTAATTGGCAGTGATTGTCCAATTTGTTTCCATATAGCCACTAAGGTTCCCCCATCCCAGTTGGAGGCCAGCCGGCTGAAAGCCAACTGACAGCTGGATGTTTCCTTAATCCCAGCCATTTATTCAATTGCAGGGTTTCACCATAAGAGGGCGCTTACTGCAGAATAAAAGTATTAACCAGCTAAAGTATATTGATGTCCATAAATATGTTTATATTAAATGTGATGACGCTTTGTACCTTGTCCACTTTTAGCTCAGGATCGAGGTTTAGAATAACTTTGTTGATATGACGACCATCTTGTTTTACTTACTCGATAACGGGAGGTTAAGCAAGACTAACTTTTACCGAAAAGTAGCCACAAGTTGCAAGTCCAAGATAATTGTAAATGCTGGTAACATAATAGTAATATTGTAACAGTAACATACATGGAAACAGGTAATAAAGACAGTGACTCAGTTATGTCATGTAATATGCTAACATTAGCCACAAAAAATATATTGGTTCCATTCCAGACCAAGAGGCTTAAGCAGCATGTTAATTTCTCAAGAGAAAGAATTTGGTTTTTCTTCTTTCAAAACTAAAATAATCTAACTTTAAAGTTCCCGTTGACATTTTGTAAAATATGCTTATTAGTATTTGCTTTTTTTGTTTGAGTCTCAAAGGAAGACTTACTGTATACATTCTCAAGTGTGCACGCTTAATACAAGCTAGAACGTTAATCAAACGTCATAACTTGCAGTTTTTACACTCCACTTTTCTATTTTAATTAAACCAACTGAGCTTTAGAGGTGCTCGTCAGTGTAAGCCAGTGAGTGTATTTATTTTCCTTGAAGTGCAACCACTCACAAGTGATTCGGCGGTAGAGCTTCTGTTGAGTGGCAACAAAGCACTCTCCGCAACCTCTATAGGATATATAAGTCACGATTGTCTTCCATAACAAACAGGCTATTTCCGTGCATGTGAGTACAAATGTGGACATGCTGAGTCAAAAGTAAAAAATAAAATATAATACCCACTTATATAAAAGGCTCCCTGTCATGTCACCATGGCCTTCATTTATTCTATTAGTTTATCGATCAATGTTCATTTTTTTCATAAATGTTACAGGTAGTCCAGGTGCAAAATGAATCTCCTGTTCCTTAGGGGATGTGGATCTGCAGGTGACCTTGCACTTACTAGGATTATTATTATTAAGTATTATAATCAGGCATTTTATTCTTACGTTGAGTACAGCGAAACCTTTCAAGGAGAAATCCCTTTCCTCCCTGTTATTGAAAAGGGCTAATAAAGCCTTTATAATTACATTACAAACAGCTCTTTATTTATGAATTTAATAATTGACCTTGAGATGATGCCTTTTTTTTGTGTGAACTCTGTCCTTGATTTTCCTTGAAAAGATATCCCAGAGATATTGTACATAGGCAATAAATTGCAGCCTATGTCAAATGAAGGACTTGGATTGAATGCATTAGTGGTCATAGATTGGGCTATTATATGGTAAATGATGGTATGAAACCAAAGGATGCATGCTTGATTAGCCAGGATTTGATCATTACATTCTTATTACCAGTATAACAGACTGCAGCAAATGGACCGACATGCAAGTATAGATATTCCACCCAACGTGTTGTTAACCGTTACACACAAAAAAACTCCATCCAGCTTTGACTTATTTCTTGGAAGCTTGAATCAAGTGTTGGGATATGACTGGAATGTTAATGTCAGGAAGATACACAGTGTGTGTGAATACACCTTGCTCCAAAGCAGTGAAAACCAAGGGGCTTTTCATCTTCCCTCAGATATGACAACCTCAGAATGGAAAATCAAAGAGTCAACAGTAGATAGTCACGCTGTAGTGGAGTGATGGCACAACAGAACATCAATCTTCTGGGAAATGGTAGACAAACCGCTTACATTGAATTAATTGTATGTACAGATGTTTGGTGCAGAGTTCACTTTTTTTTTTACGCAGCTCTTAGGGAAAAAAACTGCAGCCAGGAGCTCAAAAACTGGGAAAATATTGCATTGGCTGTTCCAGGGATTTACATAATGCCCTCCTGTTCCTCCTGCCCTTCAGTCTGTGCATTTAAATCTGATGAAAAAAACATTAGAGTGAAATGCTGTTTTTTTCTGCCTGTCTTGTTTTTTTATGTGCTACGGTCTTCTGAGGTGACTTCCTAAAAATGCTGATAAAAGCTTCAAAGTGAGCAGATAAAAATATAGTAATTAAACTGACGTTTCTTTTTTTTAATCTCAGGGCAGGCCAAATTATTCACATCAGTTGCTGCAGTCAGCAGTTCATTTTGTTTGGATATATAAGCACCCTTGGTAATATTTAATGGGTTCTGTACTTAACTCCCATGCATTGATTATTTTAATGACACCCACTAATTCCAGAAAAACTGCACTCATACACACATCCTTACAAAATGAGGGAAAAATACTTTGATGAAAAAATTGAGAATTTGATGAAAAAACTAAATGTTTTACTCCATCACTCTCGCTGGTGGATGTATCCAGATGTTACTTTACAAATGTCTCAAACAATAGCACTGCAAACATCACGAAGATATTATCACCCTAAAGGCCAGAAAAATCTAAACAAGGGGCTAAAAGACACTGAAGCCTTTATGTAAAGCTCAGATGAACTGCAGTATCGGAGATAATTCTTCAAGTTCATGATGATATGAGATATATCTTTGCTCTTTTTCGCCTTTAGTAGTCTGCAAAATGTTTGGAATTTTAATGGAGTAAGTGTTGGGGATATCTCCAACGGCAGGAAAAAAACTGTTCATAGTCCAAACTTTCCACTTGAATTTCCATCTTCATGTTCTCTTTTACAGAGTAGTATGTTTCTACACCATTTAAAGGCTGATTTACATTTAGCTATTTATAATTTATTCAAAAAATGTCAATTCTCGAAGTCGGTATGACTGTTGACAGTTATCCTATGTGTTCCTCTGTACTAAACAAAATAAATGATATTCTGAAAATGTATGGAAATCAGCACATGTTTGGCAACCTTTAGTGCACTTGAACTGTTGCATTTGTGTCTCATTATCAACAGGAAATGGAATAACTGGACCCTTGAAAGTGAACGGAGACTATCTACACTGAGATCATTGACTTTCCATCCATGATCTGAGTCAAGGTGAGATTACAGCGCATCACCTGCCATGTGAAACTGCCTTAATTGTGAGGTTTCCAGCACAAGTTCCGCATATCTGTTACAAGACTTCTGTACCATATGGGGCTTACAGTTCTCCCTCCTGCACCTTCGCTGAGCAAGAGCATTACAGTAATCCTTCATCAAGATGAAAATTAGAAGGCTGAGGCTCCTTGGACATGTGGTAATGACACTGGTCTTTGTTTCAGCAGGGATTATCTACTTCATGGTAGTCTCACCATTTTATCCTTCAGGACTAATTTAAATCTCATCATGTCAGGATCTAGCTGTTTGGCACTACTAGAAGTAACTACTAATGGGCAAACATAGTCAAACAGGAATCCATGACCCCCATGAATTATTCATGAAATGAATAATACGTGTTAACAGCATTCCAACTATCTGTTCTTCTACGCACAACATTCTTTATTATTCCGCCTGTTATTTTGGCGCTCTTCTTCTCAAATCAAATCAAATCAAGTTT